ATATATTTAAAATCACTCATTTGCATATATTTGTACATATATTTATAAATGTGTAAATATATATATGTATACGTCAGTATACATTTGTCCGTATTTTTTCGAATTAAGACCATCTAAATGGTTTAACAACGACTTATTTGAAGTATTCAATCCTAATTATTTGTCCAAAACATATGAAGGCATCAACGAATGTGGTGCTCTTGTGCTTACTATGAGTACACTTGAATGAAACAATCGAGGATAAGCGATCGAAATTGGATAACGGAGAAGGAGTTGGTTTCCAACGTAATATTGCAGACCATGCATTTATTCGAATGCAAGAAACAAATTGACAGATCTTGATCGGAAAGTTTTGATGCATCTCTACAGTAGATGCGCCGACCTTGCCAACTGAAAACTCTCGCAAAACACTTTACTATGTCTTTCACCGACATACCACAAAAGCTCTATACTATTGAAATTATGAAGATAATCGAAAAATGGAATGAGGTCATCTATATTAATGACCAATATTTGCTGGATTAAAGTTGATTTTAAAAAATAAAATTTATGTATAAAAATTTAACAAATATGTTTTATGTCACAAGTAAATTAGAAGTAGTTTTTTTATATGTTATATATTAATGGAGCTAGATATTGACTAATATATTTTGACGCCAACTTCACCTCTTCAACTATGCTACACGTAAGAGTAAGGGACATTGATTTAAGTATTTCGCTCACCGCTCACAAAATGTAAATAAATTGAAAAGTTTGGAACTAATGTCAAAGAGGTCCTTTAGAACACTTGACGCAGCTTAAATTATTTGAAGAGATTAGCAAATTAAATGCGAAATGATTTCATTTTTCAATTATATTTCGTCCTTACTACAGCTTTGTGTTTGCTTTTATTATTATTTTCGCCTGGCCTGCTCATTATATAAACAATGATAAGTTATTAGTAAAGTTTGCTTTTGCAATTAATAAACAATAGACTTAATTATGTCTAATTACATTAGTCATACCTCTTTATTTCTTCTCCGGTGCCATTTCGCTCCTACCGCAACATTAAATTCTATTTCATTACATCTTCAATTTCGTGAATTTGAAGTCAACAAATAGGTTTTTCCATCTTCTGTAGTGTGTTCGCAGGGAAGATTTGAAGCAAAGGAATGGAAGGGGACGTAATGTTTGAGAATTTTCCTTGCAACGAAACTAAAGTGAAATGAGTTCTAATTACTTAACATTTGGGCGCCATTCTGTGAATACACTCATACACATCTTTCCAGGACTTAATTTATTATTACCTAAATAATAGCAGCATTACGACCAAATAGACTAAAACCAATTTAGCGAGCGAAGATTTACGCATTTTGTGAACACACCACCTAACAATGTCGCTGCATATCGAGAACGCCGAGTTCTTGATTGTTCCGATGCCACAAAGGAATTCAAAACGTAACCAAACTCATACAAAACTCTTAACGTATTTGCCTAGTATTCTAGTATTCCTTCCAGTGTTGCCAGTACAAATTTTTCAGCTACGGATGAAGTCTCCCTGACAGTATTGCTGCTATAACCGTGCATATCCTTTAGGCTTGTAAATTGCTTTATTATTGTTGTATTTGTGTCTAAACAATAATAAATGATTTGGGAAAAAATCCGTTTATTTGTGCTATTATCTTTTGCAGTCCTAGTCGCTGGTACTGCGAAAAACGTGGCGTTATGTGATAGAACCAAAAATAGGAATTGCTTTGCGGCAAAAGCAATAACTAATCCACGTAGTCTGAGTATTTAAGTCTGAAGTATTTCGAATTGTGCGACTGCAAAGGAATTGAAAAAATCATATCAATAAGACGGGAGATTAATGGAATTACTTGCAAGTAATTTGTGATTTTTTAATACGAGTATGACACACTGAGACAGTAATTGCCCCCCACATACTCTTTTTAGTTCGTACAATTGTTTGAAGGTATAATCGCAATAAATTCAGCAAGTTTTGTTTCTTTGGGCTTGAATGACGTCAATAAAATGAACTTAAATTGATTTAAACACACAATGAATTTTTTAATCTCTCGGTTTTTATGTTCGTAATGCGTTTTCTATACAACAAGAGTCCTCGCACTCTCGGTATACTTCTGCATTGCCTTATTCTTTCCTCGGTGTCGGAGTGTCGGAGTGCTGTGAGGACGAAAAATGGTGTTGCTGTAAGCCATTTAGACGTGCGGGTAATTAGCGTAATTAATGGTTTAAGGCTGGAACATTAATGAATTTAATTAGTGCACAATACGCGAAAATGGAGGAGGTGAACTTCTGAAATAATTACAAACCAAATATCTACGTTCCACCATACACGTTCCTTAAGCAAAAGCTCAGAACAATCGATCAAAATGAAACTTTAAATGGTTTTTATTGGAAAATTTACAATCTCTATTTAAAAACATATTCCTGTGAAACTATATTTTCATTTTATTATTGCATTAAGTATAATAGATGCAAAAACACAACAGAGAAACAAATCTTAGTGAATATGCACGATCTCCATATTAACCCAACACACATAAAACTAAAAATGTTTTTACAGAAATATTTCACCGACATTTTTCTTTAGGTGTTGAAGAACATATGCATATATATAGATTGAAGTATATATTGAATATGTAAATAATACATACATATATATGTGCATATAAATATTCATATACATTTAAGTGCAGATATAAGTGCTTATGGGTCAGTCTTTACAAATCTGAGACTATTTTTGACCACATCATCTCCAACATGGCTGAAATTTTTTTATGAGCTCCTTTCATAAAATAAGAGGAATTATATCTCGGGAAAAAATTTTGTGATTTTTTTCATAGAAGATATGGAACAATGGGGTTTTGAGAATTGACATTGTGGACACTTTTTCAAATGGCAATATCTCAGGCAATATATATATGATAGCAACTTGAAATTTGTTGCGTTTTAAAGATAATTAATTGAACTTTCAAGAAATTGTTTAAACAATTAAAGTTGTTTATGTATAAGTACTAATATTAACAGTTAAATATGAAAAAAATTAAATAGTTCAGCTAGTCTGGAACTAATAAATTTCTTGATTTATCAATATAAGAAAAGAGTTCATAAAAAGGATTAATTGTGTTAAAATTCGTAATTTAAGAAACGAGATGATGCGAAACAAATTAAAATGTTCAAATTTTATTTAGGAATTAATACACATTTAATTAAGAAATAAAAACTGAAAATTTTTGCGTCGTTTTTCTTGGAAAATTGATTTAGTGGTGTTATGGTGCGTATGAGTGATGTGTAGGACACTTGATAAATTAATTTTTTTTTATTATGCCACACTGGAAATATTTATTTTTTAAGTAAAAGTTATTATTCCACTTTTTTTTTGGGAAAAATCGTGTGTATGTGTGATGTGAGGGATAAATCAATTTATTAAAAGTACTTCTAAGGATAATATCGTTTTAAATTGTTTTATATAGAATTTTATCACTAATCCAGATCAAAAATACTATATAAAAATTTTTGCTGTACATTCTTTGACAATTTTATATCTTTTTCTAAATCTTTTTACGTAGCAAACATTTATTTGTAGTCATGAGTAATAACAAGAAGTAAATCGAAAGAGTGGTGGGTTCATTTTTTTGTATTTTGGAAGTTATTATATCTTCTCAAGTGTTACTTCGTATGATCTTACAGAAACTGTTTATTTCAAATAATTTCTCATTTATACTATTATATATATATTTTTTCTTCTCTCTAAATTTTCCCTTACATCTTTTAGAATAAATACCCAAAATAAGTTTCATCCGCTTTTATTCATAGCAAAAGCACAGTCATCACATAGTTGAAGTTTTCATGGAATACAAATAAATAAGTACTATTTTACAGCACATTAATGCTTTTAGGTTGCAACATTTTAAACAGTCAATTTCCAGCTATTTAAGAAGAAATTTCACATTTGATAAAGTGTTGAACAGTATGTGTTTTGTTAATATATAAAATATTGAAGTGGACTCCCAGTCCACCCCATCGTTGTGCACATTAGCAAGAGATTTGTCTACATTATATAACTGTCTGAACATATAAATGAATTTAAAATTAGGTTTTAGTGTCAAAAGATTGTAGTTTTTGAAAAAATTTTATTTCTTTTGAAAGTGTGCATATATTGTCACTAATTTAGAGAGACACTAAACAGTCCATCAACGAATTTTTCGCATTAGTCACTAATAATTAAGTCAAATTTGTCTTTAAAGTAAAAAAAAGCCATAACTTTATCGGTGATGAAGCTGTCTTCGTCGTTTTAGAGAATGTTCTTCGGGAAAATTAACTCTTTTGGCTTCGCTTTTACTGACGAGTAGTGCATCGTTATCTAATCTGTATTTACATGTCCACGCGGAAGCTTTGCAAATATTGCTTCGAAGTAAGTTTACTGGTAACATCGCTTATGAACTGTCATGAATTTTTGATTTTTTCTGTATCTATGATCTCAACTAACTCTATTTAGGGATGACGACTTTCCATTATTAGGTTAAGTTCGGAAGGCGCGTGCTGACCGTTATCTTCCACTTGGAGACATATATTGCGTATTGTGATGTCTTCAAAAATTTTGCCGGGAGAGGCGAATTACTAACCTTTGTAATCCTTTTTAAACCATTTGGTTTTCCAGACGAAGTTGAGGAGATCCGATAAATTTGCTTTCGTTATATATTCCAAGTCAAGGAAAAAGCGATCACCGAGATGACCATTTGGATAACCATTAAATTAAATTAACTTAATTTTTAAAATTAAGTTGATCAAATTAAATTTTACTTGATAAGAAAAGAGTTTTTTCTTGTTCTTTTCATAAGATCTGAAAACTAAAAATATTTTTTCTTCAATTTGTCTTATATTTGGCTTTCACTAGTCTCAAACCAGCTACCAAAAGGCAACTATAAGAATACATAATTAAATAAGTATACATAAATATATAAGCATACAAGTACACAAGCAGTTAGAGTTCCACTTACCTTCCTCTCATTTCTTCAGTCGGCCAATCTCCGCTTCCCCAAGGCATTTCAGTGGTACCCAAAATTAAACCAAATATGAATCCAAATAAACAGGAGATAAACATCCCAAGTGACAAGGATATGAAACCAACACGCTGTAAAATCAATAACAAATTTTAAAGTCGGTTTTCGGGCGTTATAGAAATATACTAAATATGACACACCAGATAAAAGATAAAATTCCTAAAAAACAAAATTATTATTATAAAGCCGTATTCCATCAGGAACATATACTATTTACATAGAATCGCCAGGTATTTCTGTTTAATACTAAATATTTTAATTCGTTAAGTAATTTATTAGGTTCTTCACGGATTGTTCGAGATCTGTTGGGTCGTCTAATGTCTTGAGGATTCCAAAAAACAAAACCGACTTTAAAATAGTTTCGACGTAACAATTTAAAAATTAAAAACAAAATTGCAATAAAAAATTGTTAGGTCGTAAGATACATTAATTAAACAGAAGAAATTCAATATAAATTCAAATTTATTTTGTTCTTAAAAAATCAAAACATATTTCATATTTAATAACAAATATTGCTCAATTCACTTGACCGATATATGCGCGCAATGGAACTACATTTTCACCTCTATGTGAACCGCTGCAGAAGAGGTGATTGACTATCACCGTAGGCAAAGAAACGGCTAGTACGACCAGAGTCTCAAAACGCTACCGCAGAGAAAGACGCAGCATATCAACGCCACCAGCGTTCTTTAGGACGATGCAAAAGAACGATATCGGTAAAAGCGAAGAGAAGTGAAACGTTTTTTCAGACGAAAAAGGAAAGAAACAGAAAGATATGATTACGAAGAACTTGAGAAGCTGGGCGACAGGAATATGTATAAATAATAGTTAATTTGTTCTTAATTGTGCTCAAAACCTTTTTCATTTCAGTTAATTACTTATAAAAGCCATTAGAAAATAACAGTCTTCTATAAACCACTTTCTTTTATCACCTTTCGTGTTAAACATATTGAGCAACTATAAAGGAAAGTTGATTACCTTTGAAATATATATTTGCACCTCTCCTCATTACAAAACAATATTTTTTCTTCACATTAGCTTTACAAAAATATAACATGAGTAGTGACATATAATAGAAATCGGTTAATATAGCCCCCTTAAACAACTTTTCCTTTCTAAGTATATTGTTAAAGAAAAATATGAATAATCATAATCAGATAGATAGATTACTAAAAATGGGTGTTGTGTTGATTTTTAAATTCCATAGAAATAGCAAAGAGCAGTGAGGAGTTTCATTATATGTAGTCCTACATATTTTTTCTCTGTATGTGTCATAGCTTTGGAAACAAAAACTTATCTTTAGAAAACATGACGATGATAACCATATTCTTTCTTAGACTTGAAAGAATATGGCCCAACAATGTCAACATTTCGTAGACCAAACCAATTGGTGCATTTGTCAGAATATGTCGGTAGCTGATGAATTATCACTGGAACTTACCCACAAAAGTCAAGGTTAAAAAAAGTGGAACAACTTTATTTAACCTTGAAGTTCCTACTTAAGTAGGCCTTAAGGCATTACACAAAAATATTCTTTCGACTACAATCCTTATACTTATTGAATCTTGTGATTAGGATGCTTAGGATGGTTGGTAAAATCTTTTTCTCCCACATGCAGAGGTCAAATTTCTATGAACGATGACGGCCGCAATTTTGTTTTTGCAATTCTCTTTTTACATAAATCTTGGTAATACATTGAGAGGAGAGGAAATGAATTAATAAGCGCTTACGAAACTTTTAATAGAAATTAGTAATCATCCTTTACAGAGGGAATAAATAACTTCTCACAATTAGTGAAGTAGTATTTTGTGATGGATTAATTAAATTTTCTTCGGAACCATTTTATCTAAACACACTGTAACTGGTCGACTTAAAGAAAAGTTTTAATTTTTTAATTGTTTCCCCTTTTCAAAGTTGAAACAGAACTTTTTTCTTCAGACAGAAAAATACTAGTGAAATGCAACAGAACAGATGAGGAAACTCAACTCTATGCGCAAAAGAATCTTACTTAGTCCCTTTCCGAAGGCAACACTTACTTGACTATGCAGAAACGCAGGGCGGGGTAGGTTAGGAAACAGGGTAGGAAAAAATCAGAATTAATTTTCAGGCACAATGAGGAAGAATTCTTCTATGAACAAATTTTCAAAACAATAAAGCGCGAATTGTGCTTTCGCGTCGCAGTGCAAGAATGTGCATGCATACACATGTTCATGCACGTACAACACAACACGTAGTACTTGAATGTGTATACAAACATGCAATGACACATATGTATATATTTATGTTTACGTAGTTCACAGTTATCTTCATATGCAGTGCATACTCTTCATCCTCGCGAGTGTGAGTGTCGGCGAAGTTACTTATAAAAAGCGAGCGTGACATGTTAACCCATTTTTAAGGACTGCATTTGAAATTGAACGTCTGTCGTTTGCATTGTGAGGAAAGTGCAAATGACAGAGCAAGAAAACGAATAAAGAAAATATTAGATAAAAATGAATGAAAGGCGAGATACCGGCAAGATGAAGGAGCATCTGCAGAGCACTATGAAGGCGAATTTGTCCTGTCAGCAGCACGACTTTCTGACACAAAAAGTGCAGCGCACAAATGTCTAAGTGAGCGTAACTGTGCATGCGTGCATGTAAGTGCGGGTGCTGAAGTGTGAAAATATATAAAAATAATTAACATTTTTCTAGCATCACTACTTTATGCTCGAATTTGTTGCATACCTCACATTTCCGTTTAAACTTAACAGTAGATATTCATACGTATACATATATATAAATTTCAGTCAAATTGGAGATGATTAGGTCAAGAAATGTTTCCTTTGCAAAATAACGACCCACATACATTCTTATATACAGTATGATATATCAGTATAATGCCAATAGAATAATTGAAGACACAGTTGTCTTGGTCGCGAGACTAGCCCAGCCTAAGACTGATTGGACAATTGTAGGGATAGCACTTACTTGAGGACTACAGGGTTATCATTTCAAACATTATATGAAATAAAATAAATCAATTGCAAAATTATAAGTGCTCGTATCTTCATACGTACTTCTATTAAAGAACTTGACAAGTACGTTCAACCTTCAGATTAGTAACCAATTTTCATACATTAATTTGAAATACTATTACAATATGTAATTCAAAGAAAATCAAAGCTGAAAGTGAGTACTTCAACAGAAAACTATCAATAGCGGAAAAAGTCAGACATTAAATAGAGAAAATATTGCATTAAGTAGATCCCATATAGGAAAACATAAAGGACAGCAATTCATTTATTAGAGCTACTTCATAGTGATATTTACAGACAGTTCTATGTCCATAGATGGATTTCAACTGAGTGAATAAAAAATATTGCTGAAGCTCCATCGTATAGAAATCATTTTCCCTTGCTACAGCTTATCCATTTTCCCCACCAGAGGTGTTTTCAAAATCTCTTGCCATGGACATCAAAGAGAGTGTCGTGGTGATCGTAATGATACTGTTTGTAGTATGTATAAATGGTAGTGAGTGAGTTTCACTTGCGACACGCGACCGAAGATGTGAGTTTGGTACCAATAAAGATTGAGCCCTTTATTGTGAGTATCGTAATGGACGCAACTATGACCCAAAGTTAACGAAAGAACAGCAGAGGAGAAAACTATTTCGTAACGTTTAGCTTCAACTCATGAAGGCGAAATTTTAAATGACTAATAAAAATATATTTTGTGCAACAAATTTTCGCTTTTTGATCGTTCTATTTAGTGTGCGAGACTCTCTGAATTGTCTTTTTAAGCATTCTATAATAGAAAGCGCATTTACATATTTATTATGTGTATTTAAAATAATAAAATAAAAAATTATATTCTCATGGACATAAAATAACATTTATGAATTTAATGCTGCTCATTCTTACGGAGAGTCCCTTAAGAGGCGTAAAAAGCTTTTCCTTAATTATTTGGAATTCTAAACTTCATTGTATGCGGTCTATTTCATAAGTAAAAAGATAAAGTTTCTAAAAAATAATAATGTATTACCAGAAAGGAGTTAGTTAATCAAAAGTTTCACATTTTATGAATTTTCATACCGTAACACGTTTGCACATAAAGTATTCTTCATTGGGTTTTATGAAAATGTTTGTAAAATATCCTTAATCAACATTCCATGAATTAAAGTACTTAGCTTTTATATCCTATTTCTAAGACTATAAATGAAGTCTACCTCCTACTAACATTCCCGAAACAGCTTTGCATTAAATTGCTATCCTAGAATGTCGAAGTATTTATTTTAAAACTCTGCGCGCCTATTTTCTTCTCCTAACTTTTATATAGACATACCTACATACGAGTGTTTCCAGAATGAAGTGTATGTTACATTCAATTACCTCTTGAGCTACTTCAACGCGTCTCTAATTGACACCAAAAACCTGCAGTGAATTCATACGGTTTTTAATTAAAAAATAGCACGAATTTTTCTTTGCAGCTTCTAACATAATATATTAATTTTTTTTATTTTGTAATTTTTAATAATTTTTATCTTGTTTTCTTTTTAAATCAAGTCATTGCAACACTCTGCATTACTCCTAGTCCCCTGACTTACTGCCGTCATCTTACCTAAAACTTCTTACATTTTGCAACTTATAAATTTTTTATTAAGTTAAGAAATTTTTTTAATTTATGCAGAATCATCAAACGGCGATGTACTACGATGTACTACATGAGTGCAGTTTATGAGCTTTCTTGTTTACTTGTTAAACTCAAACAGCGACCTATCGACACCCACCATGAAGGAAACGGAAGCAGTGAAGAAATTAGTTGAGGAAGCAGAACTGAGCCAAGCACTTGAAAGGCACTGTTGGATGCACATAATTTTAGTCTTTGAACCTCATAAGTTCATTCCTCGTTTTCGTCCTCCTCCTCCGTCTCCTTCTTCCTGCACCGGTATTTGGGTGTTTGTAACCAACGCCTAATATTCCCACATATTTCAACTGAATATGAGCCTTGCACGCCTGTCTAGTGCACCCACTCTTTTGCAGCGCTTTTAATTAAATTTTAATTGAAACATTTTTTGACGCAGCCCTCAGCTT